GCCAACCCCCGCTACCTTGGTGAAAGGCTAGTGCATTATATATCCGCTCATGCCACCCAACCCCCAAAGTCAATTTAAAAGTTGACCAAAGATACAATTTATGACCTCAAAGTAGCTAACGTTCCAAATCACATAATCTTCATATTTGGAACCAAAGCGTCGTGGCGGAAGATTTTATAATGCCATGCTTGATGAGCAAAGTTTGAGATCTGTCATTTAATTTCAACTCAAGAGAAATTAAGCTACGATGGCATTTACGTACCAATCAATACCAATATTCCTTCATGACAAAACGAGGAGGGAGTCATGAATTTCTATAATGGTACAAATCATGCTATCAATTTCATCGTTAATTAAGGCAATAGTTACGAGAGATGCCACCCATGAGTGGCTGAAAATTCAACGAGACAGCATCATCGGTAATTGGTCTGCATTCAATGTGTCGTAATGGGACTCATGCTCAGCAATTAAAGAGGCAAGATATTCCATTTTTATAACTTCAATTTCTTTCCTACCGATACAATATCAATCGGTTTGCTTCTCGAGTGGTAAGAGGCATTGGACTGCACACTTTTCAAACTCATTATACAGACTTTGAAAGTGAACTTATAAACACGTTGGCCGAGATATGGCAAACTTTTTTCATAATTTTTTAAAAGTGTCAATAAACTGAAAACTATGCTAGATTAATCAAGAGAAAATTAAATATAAAGAAGAGTAGTTTAAAGAAACTTGAAAACCAAATAATTCTGACCAATGATCATGAGTTTCTGTCATATATCCTTTATTCAAATCATTAAAAGAAAAATTGAATAAATAATTAAGGGTGAACATTCATAAGGTTGAAGGAATTTATTAGTCAGATAATGATCCATCTAAACGACTTGGGTTCACGTTTTTATATTGATAAGGACCAAGAGTATGGAATCATGAACAATTTCATTTTCATGTCAGCAAAAGTCAGGTTTTTAATGTTTGTTACCTAGCTACCAGCAATTTAGGACTTAAACTTAAGGTCCAGCATCTCATTACCAGAATTGAAGAAATAGCTATAGCTCTAAGCTAGCTATGACTCAAATTGTAACTGGTCTTGGTCTCAATAACCTGTTACCAGAATAGCTTTGTTTAAGATACTAATTTAATTACTCAAACTGTAGATCCTGTGTCTCAATAACCCATAAGCACAATAGTCCCTCAGATTGTAAGCTATAGCTAGGACTCAAACTGTAGGCCCTAACTCAAAGACTCTTTACCAGAATTAGTCCTTCAAACTGCTAGCCAGCTAGGACTCAAACTGTATGCCCCAACTCAATTACACGTTACCAGAAAAGTCCCTCAGATTAGTAGCTTAATAGCTAGGACTCAAACTGTAGGCCCCAACTCAATTTCACGTTACCAGAAAAGTCCCTCAGATAAGTAGCTAGCTAGGACTCAAACTGTAGGCCCCAACCCCATGACGCATTACCAAAAAAGTCCCTCAGATTGGTAGCTAGTTTATAGTACTCAAACTGTAGGCCCCAACTCAATGACTCGTTACCAAAATAGTCCCTCAAATTTGTAGCCAGCTAGGACTGAAATTGTAGGCCCAAACCCAATTACTCGTTTCCAGAATATAGTCACTCAGATTTTAATCTAGCTAGGACGCAAAAGGAATGCTCCAATTTGTCTCAATGACTCATTACCACAATACGGTAGTCCCTCAAATGGCTAGCAAGCCACAAGGATTCAAACTGTAAGCCGTGTGTCTGAGACTGATCAATGCCTCATTACCATAATAATTCTTAAGATAGCTAGTTGCAACGTAATCTCCTATTGTCTCAATTGACCCATCACAAGAATTATAAAAACAAATTAACAAGCAACAACCATATATAATTTAAATCACCAATGCCAGGCTACAAACTTTATAGGCAATAATTTGCAACCCGACAACAGCTACATACCCGATATAAACAGTGAACACCATACCAGTAGAACAGCTGACACATTGAAATTCTGGACACGTTAAGTGCAGGGATATATATATATGTATGTATAAGTAATGGCATGAAGGATGAAATTGAAAGCAATATCTACTAAACAAATTCAAAGTTTTAACTTAAACCCAGCTGAGTTAGCTTCAATTACCCTTGTTCGTGTGCAAAATAGTGTTTCTGCCTTAAAGAAGATGAGAATGTGCCCAGTATTGAGCTATCAAGTTTGAAGTGTTGTACACCTCTGTTGGATTTGAGACAAATTGAACGGTATTACGACAAAACCAATAAGGGCGGCTGACGGGCATTTGGGTCATTAAAGAGACCTAAAGCAGTTATAATGTTTTCAGCCTCACTGTATCCCTGTCAGCTGGGAGCAATGCTTAAAAACGTTATCTTACGAAATTTATTTGTATGCAAAACAAGACGTTTGTCCTTGGTTCTCAATTATCTGACACAACGTAGCTGCCTTTTCATGTTGCTTAATACCCAAAGTGGTTTTAAACGTCATTAATCTGTGCAATCGAATCAACATCAAAAGTGGGTTCAGATGTGCAGTTCGGTAACATGCAAGAAACAATTGCATTAAAGAATTAATTGGATCAATTGACCTTAAAGCTCCAATAGCTTGTCGTAAAATAAGTATAGCTTACAACTATTTATTTTTTTTGAAAATGTATTTATTCGATAAACTTCTTTTGTAATATTCATTTTCAAATCATCATTTGTTAATCCTTCATTTAAAATTACATTTTTTTTTTCAATTTTAATAAATTTTCAATTTTGATTATTTTCCTCTACTGTTTACGATGTTTTGATGACTTTTTATTACCATGAATGATGCCAGGGCTAGGGATTCAGGATCAGCGACACTCATTATAAACAATTCTCAAAAATAATTTGAAATCAATTTTCCATTTATCTGTCACAAATCTTTCATACATAATTTTTTTCAATAAAGAAAACCTTAATTTGTGTTGCAATTTTTAAACTTCAGCTACTGGCGATGAATATTTACAATGATTCTCTTCATTTCCCCATAAACTTCATGGTGACAAATTTTGATATCTAATAAGAACAAGAAAATTGGTGGAATTTATATCTCCCGCTTTCAGGACATATTGTAGGTAAACATTATTGAGGTTAGGTTTAAACACGTGAGTATCGTGCTGTTGAGACATAATGTCAAGCTTGAAACTCTAAGAAAAAAAAGCCTTATCTTATTATATTTGCTAGAGTCTGATTAAAGTGGTTGTCAAACTTGGCCAAGCCCTTAATGCGTTGAACCCTGTTACTAATTTTGAAGACAATCGGATAATATTTGCAAGAGTTATTGAACAGAAACGGAAGATAATGACATCTTTCCTTATTCAAGGGGCCATAACTCCGCCAAATGGTGTCCCCTGAGTGTGGTCATCAAAGGTGGCCGAGCCCTTAAGGCATTTAAACCTGTGACCAAGTTTGAAGAAAATCGGTTAATATTTGTAGTAGTTATTACACGTAAACGAAGTGCGGCAGATAATGACGTTTTTTTTTATTCAAGGGGCCATAACTCTGCCAAATGGTGTCCACTGACAATGGTCATCAAACTTAGTTAAGCCCTTAAGACATTTAACCACCAAGTTTGAAGAAAAGCAATTAACATTTGTTGTAGTTATTGGATGGAAATGAAATGCAGCAGATAATGCCACAACTCCGCCAAATAGAGTCCGCTGAAAATGGTCATCGAACTTGTTTGAGCTCTGAAGGTCATAGGAGTGTATTGCTAAACGGAAATAGGAAGTACATCCCTAGTTGAAAATCCAATGTAGGGAGACAGTATCACAATTTCCGCATATTCTATTGTTTAATATCAAACTGATGAATATTGTATGTTTATTATTGACAGAACAGTGTGTTCTTACAATATTAAAGTATTTCAAAGCAATCCAGGCATTAATTCACATGCGTCCATTATTGTGTACTTCAGAAAACCTGCTACCTATTTCATTACTACTAAGTTTTTCATGATAACTCTTACATGCAATTACTATGTGTATATGGTTTTATTATAAAATGTCAATTTTTAATCGCTTATAGATAATTAATTTTAAAAAATTTCAGCATTTATGAAATTGATATACACTAATGCAATACTAATCTATGTCAGTATCATTTTTATTGACATTATTTTGCAAATCATTGTGTGTTTCATTTTTTTTTTCAATATTCACTCCTTTTTACATAAATTTCCATTTAAAATCCTTAAAATTCTGACAAGCTATATTTTTTATTAAGTTCTACTGAGCAATGACGACACAATCCTAAGGCATTTAACCCTGTGACCAAGTTGGAAGAGAATTGGTTAACTTTTGTTGTAGTTATTGCATGGAAACAAAGTGGGACAGACAGACGGACAAACCCAAATTAATATCCCCCGTTTTGGTGAAAGCGGGGGATTAAAATAAAGCATCCTACATAAAATATAGGCATCAAAATGTCATCAATTCATTGATAATGGAACACCTAGGTATTTATAAATCTTTAATCAAGGAATTCTTGTCCCACATACTGCAAGCATACAACATACCGGTATTATAATTCACTTCTGAAAACTAAAGTATAACCTGCATAAAGTTTTGAAAAAAATAGAAAGATGCACTTTGCAAATCAAAAATCTACAATATTTCAAGCATAAAATAACAATGTTGCCAGACTACCAATTCAAACACTGGATCTCTAGATCTGATCAAAATGCCCCCGTAGCCAGCTGAACTACCTAGGCCTGGTCAAAGCTTTAAACTCATTCACCACTGCATTTTCATAATGAACTATTCCAGCCACTGAATTGAAGGAGTTTAAGTGTATCATCAGAGGTGAATGAGTTCAGTGCCCCTAGATTATTTGTGTTACAGTCATATTCAAAACATAAACTTTAAGGGGTCTGGGGAGGTTACTGTACGGTATGATAATTAACTACAGCAGAACTCTCTAGTAGTTTTGCCTACAGTATGTGGGACATGACTCCTTAAGAAAGTCTAGACTTACAGTTTCATCCGTACAGATGCTCGAGAGCTGCGTGCCACACATGATGGCGGTGAATATCCCGAACAGTAAACTCTCAAAGATGAGGAATATTAGGAAAACGGTGGTAGCCGGTGGAGATATTCCTGAACAATCTGAAACAGAAAATATCATCATTTTTAAAATTTCAGGTATAGAGCTCTCTGGTTTTTTTAAAATTATTATTCAACCGGTACATAGTTTAAAAAAACAAACCCATTGAATAACAAACTTTTTCTTCATACAAATTTGAAAATTTGATTACTGTGAAAGTGAAAATTTTCATGTTGTGGAAATTTCGCACATGTTTTTCAATTGTTGAGTAAATTAGCATGAAAATATCCACATGCAAATATGTATAATGTCAATGTTGTAGATATATATATATATAATATAATAAGAATTCAAGAACCATTACAAATACACAAATTTCCATATTGCGATTGGCGATATTACTAAAGAGTCCCAAGCAACATCATAAATTTCTACAAAAAGGAATTTTAATATATTCTTGTAAAAAATAACTGAATGTCACAAAAACCAGCAACATGATGAAAATTGTTTATCTTTGATCTTTTTCCCCTCTCAGTTGAAATTATGTCAGCATCAGTTGTCAGATGCAGTCGTGCTAATAATGAAATTTTTGAAAAGAATTATGCTGATTATACTCAAATTCAATTATGCTGATCAAATTACTTATGAACTCATTCACCCCTGAAATTTCATAATGAACTATTCCAACCTTTGAATTGAAGGAGTTCAAATGTGTCTTCAGGACTGAATGAGTTTGAAGTGTTTTGAAGACTGCCAAAAAAGAATTCATCAATACAGGTTTTGTGGGCATTTTAAAAATTTACATTACTCAAAACAATTATTAATTTCAAGGAGATTTCAAGTATTTCCCTAACACTTGAAACAGATTGAAAGGGCCATATATGAAGATGTTAAAACAATCGATGATTTCAAAAGCACTTCATACATATTTTAAAACAACATACTTTCAAAACATTCAAGGAATATTATGAATATTTTCCAAACACCTATCCTATGTGAACTTATCCGAATGGCCATTTGTCAAATTATGTCTCGAAGTCTGACTGGCCAGTAATTTATCATTCACTAGTCAGTGCTGATGTCCATCAGTGATATAGTCACATGTGACATATGTCCGATCTGTCATCCCATGGATGAATGGACATTGGCTATCGGAGAGGCTGACCATTATAAATTGTCCTAACTGACCAGACTGAGACCTTCCATACATCGTCACTTTACAATAATTTTCTGCACTGTTATAATAGTCCCAACATCAATACAGTCAATCTACCATGTTTTGATCTTTATGGGACCATAGGGAAAAATTTGAAACATTGAGACTTCGACTTATGAATGTTGAACTCCTTAGAATTCCTGTAAATATATACTGCATAAGACCAACTGTATTTCTGTTAAGGAGCGTAACACAAGGCAAGATATTCAATTTGAAATATATAAATATTGGATTTAATGTAAATTTTAGAAAAATATGTTTTATGTATTTATAATCGGTAGTTTGCATGTTCTCGCACAGGTGCGTGTGGTTATTTTACTTCAAATTATTAGTTGTAATTTTCAACGTTTACCTTATGATCGGCCCTTGATTTCATTTTGAAACAGCGAAAGAATTGACTCATAAAAGTTCCATTTATCAATGGACTATTAGTGGTATTATATATCAGGGGGAAAAATCTGGACTTTGCCCAAATTTTGACACATCGAGAAATTTGAATCTTCGAAGAGCGGATCATGGAAGTTTGACGGGTTTTTTCGTGCTTTGAAACCTGTGTAATGGTCTCTTAACATTTTTATATTTAAAAAATTTGGATAGTAACATTGGTAAAGTGTTTATTTGAAAGAATTATGGTCCCAAGAAGTTCAAACCCTGCAGCTGTTTTTTTTTTTACTATTTTCAAAAATACAAAAACTTTGAAAAAGTGCACTCTTGTAAAACACATCATGATTTGTATTAACTGGTATATAATTTGATTTATCAAGAGGGCTCAAGAAGGCAATCGTATTCCTGTGTACGTAGATGTTTTCCGAAATTTAGCCTTTGGTAATTTCATCAAGCTAAATTAAGCCAGCCAATCAAAATGTTTGACCCGTATGAACCTGCTCCCATTCTTCTGGTAAACTTTTCTTCCACCCCCATCCTGTGTATCTAGCTGTTTTATCGAACTTAATTAACACAATCCACTCTTCTTGATTACAAAGTTTTCACATGACTTGGACATACAATCAACATCGGAACGAAATCCATCAGTTTCCGAAAGAATCGTGTGCACAGCTTACAGCCAAATAAATCATATTTGGTCCAAGAAAAGTAGCATCATGCTTGGTCAGGCATAATATAGATGACAAACAATTTGAGCATAAACTACTGTATTCTTCGTTAGTAAAAGTGCCTTAGGTCCAGCAATAAGCTGCGACACACTTCCTACTTTTTGTCGTCCTTCAAGGCCCCTTCTGTTTTAAGCACTTGTAACAGGAAGCAATTTAAGCACTTGTAATAGGAAAGAGAGTATATATATAGCATCAGGGACCAAACCTTCTACCCCAGCTCCCGCCCCCGCCCCCCCNCTCTCCCCTTTTTAAATGTGTTCACCCTCGAATACCTGACGTACAACAATCCAGGTTCGAACTCTCTGTCACCACCAAGGCAGGGCGATCAACACCATTTGTAACAGAAAAGAGATTATAGTGTGTTTCCACCAGGGATCGAACCCACAAACCCCAGCTTCCCCAGTTGACGTGCTACCGATTGAGCTTAATGGAAATTATCTCCAGCACGAAGCTAGATGGCAACCATAATCCAATGTACAATTTAAATCTGCCACCAACTATTGACAGCATGTGAAAGTTGTTTTTTCAATTTCTACCATTTGGTTCTTAATTTTCTTCACCAATGTAAATTTAAGCTAGCTCCATTTGAAATACCTTGGTACTTAATTCAGGGGCAACAGTAGTGCTAAAAACTGTTTTTCAGGAAAATCCAGGTTTCAAAAACAAATTCCCCAAAAAACTTGTTTATGAATTGGCATCATTGGCCATATGAATTTGCATGTGGGGGTCAAAGTAAAATTATTTGAACAAACTAGGCCTAGCAAGTCCTGAAAAATATATTATACAGCCTATTAACTCATTAACCCCTGAAATTTCATTATGAACTATTCCAACCTTTGAACTGGAAGAGCTCAAATGTGTCTTCAGGGGTGAATGAGTTAACATCACAACAGTCCAAAATAACTGGATGTGTATCTGGTTTTTTTTATTTAAATTCATCATTTTTTTTCAAGTGAAAACTCTAAAACAGGTCCTTTTAAGTACCCCAATTTTTTTTTTAAATAAGGAAACTTGTATTAAAAAAACACCCATGAAAAGACCAAAAAGTGGTCTCTTAACTCAGGTGGTGTCTTTATAGAGCTTCACTTCACAAAGAAATAGCTAAAATCAGTCTCTCAACAAATGAATGTCTCTTATAAATGGAGGTTATATATATTAATTAATTTCACTTCACAAGGAAATCATTACAATGGAGAACATTAAAAAAATGGTCTCTCAACACAGTAAGGAACCACCTGTGTTAAGGGACCAGCAGGTTTGATCGACTATCTACTACAAAAAACAACTGCAAATAAGTTAAGCCAGCTAGCTATTCTGGTCAAAGTTCAGTAAACAGCATTCAGTACATCAGATGGCATATAGAATATCCATTCCATTAAACTGCGAGGGAAAAAATCTCCTGAAATGCTTTTCTTCATTTGAACTTTTTAAACAACACAAATATATATGATTATCCGGATATTTTTAGAAATTTACACCGATTTATCTTGTGAGAAATCTGTGCTTTAATTTGACACTAAAACACATTCACAATTACTAAAAAGCAAATTTCACTGACCTTGAATTTGAGAATAAATTGTATCATGCCAAATTGTAACCGAAATAAAATTCATTTCATTTCGGCATTTAGTATCACTGTCAGAATATAGCTAAGCATAATATTGATTTCTTTTTTCTAATTTTCGCCGTTAATGCCATTGTCAATCTTTTATTTTGAAATGATATCCGGCAAGTGATATTACCCGTAAATTGATAATCCTGCATGCAGGCTATATTGGGCTAGCAATAAATGCTTTCAACAGTCGCTCTCATGTGTAAGCCCCGAACAAGAGAAAATGGTGAAAAAACAAGGTCAAACAAAATTAACAATATCTTTCGACAGAAACTGGGTTATATTGGTGTGCCTAGAGCGGAGACCACACGTGACATCTCTGTAATTGAATACACCACAATAACAGATCCCTACCCGTGTATAGCTACGATATTAATTGTCCCCGAGAAAATTGATCATAAACAGTACCATTACCGTGAAATTTCCTGTGATTATTGCAACAAAATAAAACACCGAATTACTATTCACAATGCTTATTATTTCTTGATCCATCCCGGAAGCCGCGAAACACAAGGCAACATGGTGATCGTACCAGAAAAAAGCGTAAAGTTTTCAATTAAATCTGCAATGATGTATGATTCGGTGCGGATTAGGATTGCTTTATTTACAGCGGTTCTCTCTAGACGAAACTTAATTCTTTCGTATTGAAAAGTTGTGAGGTTTTATCATTTTTAACATTTTAATTAAGATATCAATTTCGAGTAACAGCATTCTAATGGAACTGTATGAGCTAGATGAATGCTATTAAAAGCTAACAAACCTAGAAATTAAAAATAACTTTGGGTTATTACAGACTAAATATATATTAATATTCCCACTGAAAGATAAATTGAAGTTAACGATCGTGCATAATGAAAATGTGTAGGAAGGATACATTTGTAGAACCTTTGCAATGTAACTTAATTAGCACATGAAGTAGATATATAAAAAAATGTTTTGGAAAAATGCATGCATACAATATCACTCCACAAGGTTTTTTTCGAATAATTCATATAGATAACAAGAGCAGTTGCAATTGCATACTTTTAAATATGTAACAAAGAAATGTCCGTCAAAAAAGATAGACAACAGAGTTTTGATGTACCTATGTAGCTGTACATGTGTGCGGTATAGTCTAGTGAT